GGAATGCCCTGGTGCCCAGCTATAAGATTTCTTCGTTAGAAAAAGACATTACAAACCTGTTTGACATATTTCCTTTCGGCAGCAGAGCCTGCAAACGCCATCCGAATGGTGTAAAGCAGTAACCCTGGCAACCGCAATAACTCCATCCCAGAGCCCACCAGGCTTGCTGTGATCACGTAGTTGACAAAAAACGCTCCTTGGTGAGGTAAAAACACACACCTGGTGTAAGGTTACAAAAGACAAAAGTGAAGAGGATGATCAAGTTGGACAAGTGAGGAAAAAACATGAATGAAAAGGAAAACTTAAAAAAAGATACAGAATTCTGTCAATAATGAGGGCTGTGTGCTTCTCACACATTTGTCTAACCATGCAAGGTTCAACCATCACTCTCAATTTTAGAAGAAATGTTATACATGACATTACAGGCAGACTTAAGGCAATATGAAAATATGACAATGAGGCATATCATAACAGATCTGAATGATGCGAGTTATCTTTAAAACTGATGTAACCGATGAATCTAATTTTACTTCTCTCTCTATAATGTAATTATTCTTAAAAAGGGAATACTATGTTATCCTGCAGTACATGGATTTCAAATCAATTAGAATTTAGCCAAAAGAAGAAGGATTACTTACTCAAACCTCAGTTTCCCATCTGACAAAAACTTTTTGTCAAACAGCCAGCGGAAAAACACTGCAAGACTAAGGAGGAAAAACAAAGCCAAGAAAGTTAGGCAAGGTTCTTCCTGAATCTAATTATATCAAAATGCTCCCATAAGCCTGGAAGAAATCAATTTCAGCTAACTTATTATTTTTATTTGGTATTTTACTGTAGATATATACAGTACAAATATGTCAACACATTTTGTGCCTCAAAGTACGCAAGTACAGTATGTGTATTACACATACACTGATGACTGAAATTACTGCAGATATACAGTTAACCTACAGTAGATGCTTAGTTAAACTAACACTAATCACCTGGTGAGTCCTAGCGACGGGAGGATAAGTATCATGAAGAGCAGGAAGAAGTAGAGCTTACGCATCATGCTCAGCTGCTCACTGGACCTGAGACACAGAGGGCACTGCATCAAAGCATTTTTCTCTACTTAAAGAAACCGCTGTGGTGTGTGTGTGGTGTGTAATACCTGTGCCAATGTGCCTCTCCTAATGTTGAATAGTACACAATGGTAGGCAGCAATGCAGAGAAGGACCACAGCAGGAGAGTGGGAAAGAACTGACTGATAATGGGGCTCTGGAGTGAAAAAGCAAAACAAACTGTAGATTCATGGCTCTGAAAGCAAATTTGTGACAAGTATGCGTGTCTGTATACACAAGACTCACGTTAAGAGCCCCAATGGGCTTAGTCACATTAAACATGTCCATGGTGCTGATAATAATGGTGGGAGTTGTGAGGAAGGTGAGCAGCAAGACAACAAAGAAGTTGAGCATCACACAGCGCGCAAACCAGGGAAGACCCCGCACTGAGAGATTGGCCCTGTAATATGGGGAAACAGGAAAACAGAAGCAACAGTACAGTTGCATACAAAGAGGCAGTGCAAAGTAGAGGAAGCATAATGGTATCACTATGGTCACATTATGGCAAGTGTACAAAAGACCACATAGTATAACTTGTGTTTACTGTGCTGAAAAGATTTCCACTGTTAAGCATTATATCAGACAAAATAAAACTTAAACTTCAAAAGCCTTTTTAAAAAAATATTCCTTGTTTCTTATTCTCTTTAATTTCTCCCTTCTTTTTAATCAGACTTAACTGGAATATTAATTTGGTCATCAGAAATGAATGAAAGAGTAGCCCCATACATTTTCACTAAAATCCTTTTCTAATAACACTGAACGATTGAAACTGGTAGTATGAGCTGCATGGAGCGTGTACTGTGTGAAGGGTTAGTGTCTCAGACCTTACCAATACACATTTTTAGGATGGGGTGCAAAGCTGACTCTCCACTTGTTCACTTTCAGAGCTCCACTATTGGATGAAGGCTGCGGCTCCTTCCCACAACAGCAGCATGTGCCACCACACTCAAGTGCATTGAAGTCTTTCAGAATGCTGGAGTGGGTAAATGACTGCTGTTAGTGATGTACATTAACCAGCCCAACGGCCAGGTACCAGTAAAAAGTCATGTGGTGACAACAACATCAAGCAGTCTCTGTCCTGCCAGAGGACAGTCAGTCCACGTAATAGTGCAGCTTCCAGACTGTGAAACAACTCATTAGGGTGGAAAACACTGGCTCATACTGTTTTGTCAACCGAGCACTTGTCATGACAGCCATGCTTCTGTCACTGACAACTGCAACAAAAGAAATAATAATTTGAAAAATGGAAACGGCAGCAATGATTGGCCAAAGAAATATCAGTGGAGCTGAATTAGACTGGAGTGCAGTAACATGCTTCTGGTGTTTCATCAGATAGTACAGACGTTCCTGCTGTTTCCCACACCTGTAAATCAGACACAAGTACTAACAAAAAGGTACCCACCACTTGGCCATAGCCTCAGACTTCATGGTGACAAAGGCGATTCCCAGGGGGCGCTGTGGCACCAGCTCTACCTGCTCTCTCATCTCTCCCAGCAGGTCTCTCTCTTTAGTACGGTAGTACTGTATGGCATCAAACTGAAGAGACATACATGGATTAAATGCTTTACACCATCACTTAAATGATACAACATTTTCACTCCAGCACAAGATTTAGAGTGGTGCAGTTGTAAAAACCTTTATACAGTGTAAACTACTTTTAACATAAATTGTATCAGAGAAGATAAAGAATAAAACCACCCAGACAAAGAGTTTTATCATCTGGTCCATCTCACCTTTTTTCCACAGCAACAGAGGTGACCACACAAATGAGGGTTAACGAACTCAAGTTTCCCTGTTTTCTCCAGGACACACTCATAGTAGTGCAGGTTTTTTCCAGCTCGAATCCTGGGGGCCAAAAACAAACACATACAAGTTGGTTAAGCTTACAAAAAATAAAGCCTCAACATTGTGAATACCTATTTTAAAGTCTAGAATATGCTTTGCACACTGGTGCTTACAGCCATTTCCTCTGCAGACTTGCATAAAGGACATGAAACCATTTAGAAATTCAATAGCAAGAGTGAGATGGAACAGTACAGTACAATTTGTTGTCTGTATAATAAAACAATGAGCTATAAGAGGCAAAAATATTCAGTACACTTGTTAAGTTAGGTGACAATTCCCTCTGTGGGTTTGTTGCTGCAAGGACCAGTTTCTCACTGTACATTCATTATTAAAATTCATAACATTTATGAGTGAGATTTTAGCACACACTAACAGTGAACTGTGCACAAATGGCAGCACTGTAGGCAATAAGCTGGTAAATATGACTTTGTAGCCTACTCACCCGCATATGGTAGCATGTACTGTAATCACTGGCACACTGAGCAAGAATCACATGATTTTTATTTACAGTTATTCCTGATTTCTTACCTTTGCTTATCAAGACTCATGAGCTTGGCCACGTCATAGCCCAGGGCTACAGCACACACTTGAAAATCAGGATACGCGTCACTATACAAAAACAGTAATGACACTGAGGAATGGAGCAGGGGGTCGTTATTTATGGTAACATGCACGTACAATGCATGGATATCAAAAGTCAACTTTATACAGTTGATGTATAAACAGTGGATGTAACAGTTCAGTTTACTCACGTAAAATGGGTCTTTATATCCTCCTCTGTTGCTGTTTTAGGGACTGAACACACTAACAAGGTGTTTCTGCTCTACAAAGTGAAAGTCAAAATGACACACTGATCAGGTAACTGCACAGGTGAGCGACACTCAATATCACCACACTTTAATCTGGTTTGGATTTCATTAAACATTTCACTCTGCACATATAGGTGTAATCAGAGGTAAAATAAACAGAAAACTAAGTAATGTGGCCATAGAGTAAATTTATTCATGTGTGACATCCAGACCAAGTGTGGATGACCGTATCTTTATAGTGTGTAGTGTAGTCTTCAGCAGCCAGACACTCACCATCTCTTTGCGCATGCCTTTCATTTTAGATGTATAACATCGCAGCACGATAATTGTCAGGATCAGGTACAAAACTGCAAACACTGTGTGCAGCCACAACAGGTAGTCTCTATAAAGCAAAAATGACAATCACCAAGAAACCTTTTGTCAGGACAAAACCACAAAGTTCCTCTGCGAAAGAAACACACACTTATATATCCACTCATTTTGTATGTGACACTGTAATACAGTTGTTACCCCTTTTGAAGATTCCCAATAGTTGTCCTTCCAAAATTCATTGGATTATTATCTGAAAGAAAGAGCACACATAGATGTATGTAAATAACTAGAAACAAGAACATAAACAGACTAAGCCAGTCAAAATCACCATTGCCTGTGCAATCATTGCCTGATTCACATTCAAAGCCATCATAAAATACATACTAAATAGCCACCCGACCTATGGATGGATTAGTGGGCATTCAGATGGGTAAAATGCAACTCCTTGCTGGGGCTATGTTGGTCAGGGGGGTGAAGGGTTGTAAATGTGTACAATATGTTCAGGTTATGACAAGTCGATGGTATCTGTTGTGTTTCGTTAACCATGCTGGTAATGTAGCGTACTCTGGGTTAGCACCAATTTCTACCTCCAGCATGTTGGCATTGATAGATTAAAAACAGTTTGACATCCAGTACCCTCACCAAGGAAAACGCTTGCGTTGTCATTATAGAGACAGTGAATAGCAGTGAATGCTAACAAGGTAAACAAAAGAGTCTTCTTCCTGTGAGTGTCCATATTCCTACTGCCCCCCGTATGTGATTGGTCAACGCAGTGCCTTTGCCTCATGACATCACCGGCCAGTGTGGCAAAAGCTGAACCAAATCCAATTTTTTTTTTAATGCACGGGGCTGCGGCATTTTGACAAAGGCCCTGTGGTGCTGGTGCCAGCTGCGGTGAACGCAACCCCCCCCCCCAGAGAAATGAATGGAGAGGACTGTGTTTTTTCACACCTTTGAAATTCAGTTGAACGCCTGCTTACTTAGCGGGTCTACTGGACACAGGCCCAGTAGACCTGCAAACTATTCCAGAAAGAGAGAAAAAAAATGGCCAAAAGAAACACCCACAAAACACAAAATATCCTCAGAGGGACAAAACATCTGCCAAGATATGCTATAAGCAACCACAAGGACATGCAAAATCACAATGGAGACCACAAAGAGACAGAAGAAAACCACAAATAGATACAAAATGACTTGTCAGACATGCAAAGTGTCCTCTCAGAGATATAAAACATTTGTAAACACAAAACAACTACAAGGAGATGCAAAATACCCACAGAATGTTGTAAAACAGCTTTAAACACTCAAAATAACCATAAAGACAAACTAAACATGTCTCTTTCAGTCTAAATATCTTGTTTTATGTGGGAGGTTAGGGGGCCCAAGGTAATATTCAAGGAGGCTGTACAGACACTGGCTGTCATTATTAGTGTACACACTTGTAATGCCAGAGTATAATCAGAGAGGGAGTGTACTGTTAAATGTACCCAGCAGGTCTCCAGTCATGTTGACAGGCAGTATGACTGAGAGCGAGGCGATAGTGATGACAAGTAGCAAGATGATCAGATGACGCTGAAAGGACAAGTAGTGAACAGCGTCCACGCCACACCTGGCTTCCATCTTTTCATCACTGAAACACACACACAGATTACAAGAAACCATCAAATGACTTGAGGTACTGAAAGCTGAAAACTCTGACCAGTAAAATAGACAACACATTGCTTAGTCACTCACTCCATTCTGATGATGAAAGGCAGCCAAGAGCACCAAGAGCAACATCCCTAAAGACAAACAGAGATATTTTGATTAGACTAGCATACAATAAAGATGATCATGATAAAGAAAATTTGGTAAGGGCTTCATGGTCTCCCAAAACATCTAGACATTATTTATACAGTAGGATGAACTCCTGGCTAGTTCAGAATAATTAATGAAGTTTATTTTATTGAACGCTTAAGAGAGAAGTGTTTATAATGTCAGTTTGTCATGTGGGGACATAGTCTAGGCCTACAGTGGGTACGGAAAGTATTCAGACCCCCTTAAATTTTTCACTCTTTGTTATATTGCAGCCATATGCTAAAATCATTTAAGTTCATTTTTTTCCTCATTAATGTACACACAGCACCCCATATTGACAGAAAAACACGGAATTGACATTTTTGCAGATTTATTAAAAAAGAAAAACTGAAATATCACATGGTCATAAGTATTCAGACCCTTTGCTGTGACACTCATATATTTAACTTAGGTGCTGTCCATTTCTTCTGATCATCCCTCAGATGGTTCTACACCTTCATTTGAGTCCAGCTGTGTTTGATTATACTGATTGGACGTGATTAGGAAAAGCCACACACCTGTCTATATAAGACCCTACAGCTCACAGTGCATGTCAGAGCAAATGAGAATCATGAGGTCAAAGGAACTGCCTGAAGAGCTCAGAGACAGAATTGTGGCAAGGCACAGATCTGGCAAAGGTTACAAAAAAATTTCTGCTGCACTTAAGATTCCCGGGAGATGGGAGAAAGTTGTAGAAAGTCAACCCTCACTGCAGCCCTCCACCAGTCGGGGCTTTATGGCAGAGTGGCCCGACGGAAGCCTCTCCTCAGTGCAAGACACATGAAAGCCCGCATGGAGTTTGCTAAAAAACACCTGAAGGACTCCAAGATGGTGAGAAATAAGATTCTCTGGTCTGATGAGACCAAGATAGAACTTTTTGGCCTTAATTCTAAGCGGTATGTGTGGAGAAAACCAGGCACTGCTCATCACCTGTCCAATACAGTCCCAACAGTGAAGCATGGTGGTGGCAGCCTCCTGCTATGGGGGTGTTTTTCAGCTGCAGGGACCGGACGACTGGTTGCAATCGAGGGAAGGATGAATGCGGCCAAGTACAGGGATATCCTGGACGAAAACCTTCTCCAGAGTGCTCAGGACCTCAGACTGGGCTGAAGGTTCACCTTCCAACAAGACAATGACCCTAAGCACACAGCTAAAATAACGAAGGAGTGGCTTCACAACAACTCCGTGACTGTTCTTGAATGGCCCAGCCAGAGCCCTGACTTAAACCCCATTGAGCATCTCTGGAGAGACCTGAAAATGGCTGTCCACCAACGTTTACCATCCAACCTGACAGCACTGGAGAGGATCTGCAAGGAGGAATGGCAGAGGATCCCCAAATGCAGGTGTGAACTTGTTGCATCATTCCCAAAAAGACTCATGGCTGTATTAGCTCAAAAGGGTGCTTCTACTAAATACTGAGCAAAGGGTCTGAATACTTATGACCATGTGATATTTCAGTTTTTCTTTTTTAATAAATCTGCAAAAATGTCAAAAATTCTGTGTTTTTCTGTCAATATGGGGTGCTGTGTGTACATTAATGAGGAAAAAAATGAACTTAAATGATTTTAGCATATGGCTGCAATGTAACAAAGAGTGAAAAATTTAAGGGGGTCTGAATACTTTCCGTACCCACTGTATATAAAAGTGACTGCTTATCTCAGTTACTGTAGTACAGCTATTCTGATGTTGGTAATGAACGTAACATCAAAGATTTTCCTTTACATACCATTTCATACTCATGATCATCTGCACTCGACACAGAGGATGACATGCGTTGATAGCGAGGGCGTGATGACCTAGTGCACCTGGAACACAAAGTTCAATGTCATAAACTAAATCAAACTGAAAAAGACATACAATTACTGTATCACAGTGGTATGCCTCTGCCAGCCAGTCATATGCACAGGAACGGGACAGACGTGAGGTCACTGTGACCTTGACCTTTGACCACCAAATTCTGATAAGTTCATCCTTGAGCTCCAGTGGATACCTGAGCCACATTTGAACAAATGTCCTAAAGGCACCCCTGACATATGATGTCCACGACAATGGGCTGGATGAGCAACCTGAAACATAATGCCTCTGGCCACGGCTATCACTGGCATGGACGCATAAAAATCAACCAGATGATTCAGGTCAACATTACACTGAGCTTCCTTATTCTGATCAGTATGTCTACCACACCTCAGATCACATTTGTCATATGGGAACTGACTTTTGACTGTCTGCGACCAGTGCTAGACGCCCATAGTCCCAGAACCTCCTCCTGATAAGACAGAAGATAAACAGCAACACCTGTAGGTAAAAAGAAAAGAGGCAGTGTATGGCACATTGTTGCATACTGTAAAAAAACTTTTGCTTTTCTTATATTAGGTTCCTTATTGCTATTTATAACAGTTACAGAAACATAAAGGGAGAAAGAAGTACAGCTAATTGGGGTCACAAGACTTTATGTCTCCATTAAATTTATCAAAATTATATTAGAAGCAGACAGAGAAACAGACACATACCAGAAAAACAATGAAATCAAGCAGTAGCACATCTGGCACTCCTCCAAAATTATCTGCATTAAGTACGGTGCTGTGTATGGAGCCAAAGCAGCTGCTGTTGTCCTTGGGACCAGAGGGAGAGGTACCATTTGTGACCACCGGGGACTCCCACCACAAGGAGGGCATGACTGGAGCAGAACCAGTAGTTTATCTACAGAAATTGACAGTAGTATATGTTGAGAAATTACCTCCCAGAATCAAAGGTGTTCCCAAAGTGATAAGATAAACTATTTTCATTATCAATTAATCTGTTCATTGTTTTTTTATTAGTTGTTTAGTTGATAAAATATCTGAAAGTACAAGCTGACATCTTCAACTGTGACAACAAAAACTTAAAATACTTTATAACATAGGAAAAAGAGAAAATCCTTACATTTAAGAAGCTGGAACCAGCAAGTATTTCACACTTTTGCTTGACAAATGATTTCAAAATTGATGCTAATTTATTTTCTGCCCTGAAAATAATGCAACAACATTGGGAAGCTTAACCTATTTTATATTAGTTGTACCTCTGAAAAGGAAAGTAAACACAGATGGATACTTTATTTGCAGAAGAAACATGTTGGTAAAATAAGGCAACACCTCACACCCTGCCATGCAGCATGTACGCAGTTTTTGGATCTGTAGATTTCACTAATTAAAATTTTTCAAAGTTGGAGGGTAGTGTTTTGTTGAAATAATCACCTGCAACATTTTATAGCATGTTAACAGCACAGCATATCAAGCCTGCAACTACAAACTACTAATCAATGTTTTTAAAAATAATTATCAAGCCTGCAAATGTTAGAAAATTGCGAAACATGTCCAAAACTATTTCTCAGAGCTCAGGATGACATCTTCAGATGTCCTGTTTTGTCTAACCAATAGTCAAAAACCTGAGCATATTCAATAGACAACGATGAAAACTAGAGGAAAGCTGTAAATCCTCACATTTAAGAACCTCACATGAAAAAAAAGAGGCAACAAGAGGCCACAGAGTCTCATCACAACAGCTAAGTGGCTTTTAGCTTTTTTTTTAAAAACTGTTTTGTTCCTGCAACTAAAGATTAAATCAGAGGATGTTATTGACTTGCACACTTCAACCCAGCTAGGAGGAAGTGTGAAAGCCTACAGTACATGCTCTCCCTCTGGTGGCAGAAGTGTTCAGATCTTTTACCTGAGTAAAAGTAGTAATATTTTTGGGTAGAAATACTGAGGTACAAGTAAAGGTCCTACATTCAAAATCTGAAATAAAGTTGTGTTAGCTCAATATGCAGCAGAATGGGCCCTCTCTAGTGTTATTTTAATTTACATAAGTATATTCGAGATATATAATTGGATTGTTTATAGAGCTGCAACTAATAATGATTTTATATTATTGATTCATTTGCCAATGATTTTCTCAATTACTTGATAATCATTTGTCTATAAAATGTCAAAGAAATAATGAAAATGACCTCACATCTGCAAAGCTGGAACCAGCAAATATTTGGTGTTCTTGCTTAAAAGATGACCAGGAGCATGAGTAAAGCCAGGGGCTGGCACTGCCTAGCCCCAGAATCTGATTGGCCACCCCTGTCAGTACTAAGGAATGAAAAATCAAAAAACAATGACAAATGGTTGCCTTAAATACAACAAACATTTATCTGGCTCTTTATAATTGATATCAGTCAAATTAGATTTATTTTATATCATGCATGCAGCATGATATTTGAGCTTATTTCTCCAATTGTGTTGCCATGAATCACTGCACTGTGCAGCAGCAATGTCCTGGGAGCGCAGCCAAAGTTAGCTAAAGAAAATACTATGTGTCTCTCATTTTTACACAAAATAAACATTAAATTCTTAATAATGTATGGTTCATTATTTCCCAGAACTAGGGGCACTTGAGTGAATGTAGTCAGCATATATTCCAGCCCTGCTTGGCTCATGGTATGACAGGGTTGTGTATTCTGAAAGACATCTGTAGCAGCATTATTACTCCCGTGGTTTTTAATTGTTCTACGGTTGAACCCAGAATGATGGTATTTTGTCATACTAACCCACGTCAGAGTCTGAGGCAAATATAAAGCAATAGACTGACTCTGCGGTTTCACTATAACAACATGTCACATTAAAGTCATCACCATAACGCGCCACACCTGTCCTCAAAGAAATGGACACACTCCCTGAGTCACGAGGACGCAGGAAGTTATAATATACGATATAACGGCTGACAATTAACGCCGACATCAAAATTTATGAGTGACAAAAATCACACCAGAGCAGACAGAGAAAATGTATTTGCTCTCAGTTTTTGCTAAAGGCATTTCTCTCACAGTGAAACCTAACAGCTGTTCGCTAACTCACAGTCACAAGAGGGTTATGATTCCTAACTCACCAAGTTGAAAGTTAGATAAAACATGCATTAAGTTGAAATGAAAAGAATAATTAAAACAACCTGAATATGACAGCTAGATGTATACAGAAGTTACAGAAAGGCATGTTAATGCTAATGAGGTAAGCAAAAGGTACACAACTTACTCTCGCTGCCTGGGCTATGTCAACATCAGCCAACACAGCTTGATTAACTTGTCTGTAAGTTGCCTACGTCCGTTTCTGGTATGCTGCTGTGTCTGTGTGACTTTTATTCTTCCAAAAGCACCTAGAAATGAACTCCTTCCCACCGCAACTAACGTTACGAGCAATATAAAACTTACTACTTCTTCTTCTTCTATTGTTTAATGGCGGTTAAAACTGTCTGTGCTCCCTTGCCCTTAAGTTCCGCGTATGCGCAGACGCTGCAACAAAGACGAATCTTTTCCGAGCACATCCTCAGGAAGCCCCTGGTAGTAACGCTACGTTTGGACCTTTTACCCTGTGAGCTGAGTCTAAATTCAAGAGTTCCCACTGCTGGTAATGGAACGAGGAGGGTAGTAATACAAATGACTGAGAAAAAAAAATACAGTTGTAGTCATTGATGGGAAGTATAGTTTACTGAGTACAGTATAGGCTAATTAAAACTACAGTGTTTTGAGGCAGGCTATCTGTCCTTGAGTAGCCTATCTTCATTTTCGACTTCACTACATTTTAAAAGCAAATATTCAGTGGTGGAAGAAGTAGACTCAGAGTGTTTAATTAAGTAAAGCAATATTGCAGTGTAAAAGTACTCTGTAGGTAAAGGATGATCTAATTTTAACTACCTTATAATTTTAATTACTGCTGGGTGAAATTCCCACTGAGGATGAAGTCTTGTAAAAAAAAAAAAATTAATTTGATTTTAAAAAGTAACAAGTATGTGGCTCTAAAATGTACTGAAGTTGAAGTACTGTACTTAAGTACAGTAGCTGACTTGAGTAAATCTACTTCATTTTTCTTCATTTCCACTTCTGCAAATAATTTAAATAAACCACCAAGCCAGGACCTGACTTTTATCTCACAAGAAACATATAATGTCAGCATATTATATGTATCACTTCTCTAGTTATGTTTTATTCATCCTCGTCTTCTACAGTCCATGCTAGTGGTTTGTTTTTATGGATGTCAGTCAATCTGTCTACCACTTTGGCCCAGACTTAAATATCATTAGACATTAATAGTCTCCAGAGGATGAATGTTAGCGGCTTAGATGGCCCTGATTGTTAATTTAGTATCACAGTGAGGTTGATTTTCAGGATGAATTGTAATAACACTGGTGATTCTCTGACTTTGCATTTCACGCCATCATCAGGTCAAAATTTCACTTTGCAAATATACTGTATAGCGGCATTCCCATCAGGCTCCACTGTACAGTACTTTGTGTTTAGTGATCATTATTTTTCATTGCCTATTGCTTTATTCATTTGACATTTTTTAATAATTATTTTGAAATATCATGGATTATCTGTTTATCTCTTATGTTTCTCTATCTATTCAAATGTACTGAATGCGATGGCTGAGAATCAAGGGCATCTTTTTAGTTCTTTTCTTTTTCTTTTTTTTTTGGCTAATATTTGATGCCAACATTAGGAAAAGGCAATGGCAAAGGTTTATAAAATAAATCTGAAGTCTAGTGATTTTATTCTCAAGTCTCATAAACTATAAAACTATTAATACCTTGCAAACACTGAAATTCGTGTTTTTTGCTGGTCACAGACTGTTTACATGAAGATGGAAAAAGTGAAAGAAAGGTTTTGACTAATTATTGTTCCTATATTTAATATCAGTAGCGGTGTCTTTTGTTGTAGTTTTATTCTGTAAAAACAGAAATTGATGACAACTCAGTGCTGAGAGATACACTAAATTAAAGAAAACCTTTTTATTTATCTTTTATTTTGTAGTTTGAATAATGAAGGAAGTACTGTACCAGCTAGATTTTTTTTGTTCCTTGTGTGAAGAAAAGAAAACAAAGAGAGAGAAACTGTGAGATGTTGTATGTTTGACATTAAAGGTCAAACATCAAAAACATGTGACACTGTTGCAACAGAACTGATTATTTTCATTTTCAGGGACAGAACCTTTGGATCACACCATTGTACACAAAATGCGCCAAAATCCATCACCAGCTTTGCAGCCTTCCTCTCAGTGATCCCACCTGACACAGTCAGTAACACTCCCTGTCATAAATAGACACTAGAGCAGATCAGTGTGTCAACCCACTGAAGAAGAGCTATATAATATGCTCTTTGCAACTTCTCCCATCTCATCTGATCAGTGGTCAGTGCTGGGCTTTACCAAGATTTGAACAAGAAAGAGCATAACACCAGACACAGCAGAGAGAATCTGTATTGTTCCACATCTGAGACATCTCAGGAGATATGCTGCTGGGGTTTGCTGGACAGAACATGGCAAACCAGTGTCATGGGCCCCTATCAGATGTGGCAGCGGTCAGATTAACAAATTCAATGCAATTAATAATTCAATTTAGTGCAAGATTCTGTGGCTGCTCTGAGTGTATCTCTCAACTTCCCTCTCTCTCATTTTCCCTTATGGGATTTTCTGTTTTTCTGTTGTGGTCTTGACTGTTCATTTCTGTTTCCCGTGTCTTGCTGTGTGTATTTTGTGTGTATTTCTAGTCTCTGTGTGAATGTGTGCACACAGGGATGTCCGTGTTGTCAGTGTGTCTATCCCAAACATCAATCTACTTGTGTGTGTGTGTGTGTGTGTGTGTGTGTGTAGTGACTGTTCATGCCTCACTGTGGGATGCGTTGATTAGTGCTCACTGCGGCTCAGCTCCCAGCTGTCCTTGCGGCTGGCCACTGATTGAAACCAATCAGGCTTGCGATGGCCCCATCGTGGTGACCCCTCACCCCTCCCACCCCCGGCCTAATCACCTGCTGATTGGCCCACGCAGGGCCCCCTCCCACTGGCACAGAAGGTTAATTTGACCGGCGGATGAAGGCTCCAAGGGGGAATAGGAACGTGCGCTGGGTGTTATTGCATGGATATAGCCCACCTGTCTATCACAGCCACTTAAAGGGGAGCAGCTAGGGAAACAGTGACTACCAGAGAAAGAAAGGTGCAAAAGAATGGAAAGGAGGACTGGTGAAGTGTTCAACAATATTTAGGAGCAGATTACTTTTGGAAACACTTTTGTCTGTTCACATTAAAAAAATCCTCACTCAAGGTTCACTTTCTAGCTTTTTCCAGAGTATCTGCTGGTTTTCCTGGAGTATACTCAGTAAAATCCATAAACAATAATATACAGCAGGAGAAATCTGAAATAATAACTGAGCAAGCACCATAACAGCAAGGTGCAGTTGGAAGCTCAGGGAAAGCTAGTAAGTACAGTTTCAACCCTACAGTACATTATATTTTCAATTAATACAATTATTACAACAAAATATAATCTTATGGAAAATATTACTTTTAAAATGAACTATAATAACTATCTTTTTATTTATAAAGTTTAGAAATGCCAAAAAAACTTATTGTTACATCATATAAACAGTAGGACACCTGAACAATAAATATTATAAATATAATAAAGATTATAATCAGGTAAATATCAGTGATATTATTGTATACTTTTTATTTAATAGAGACCTTTAATGGGCATCTCATGGTAATATAGCTGATATATGGATACAAATCTCATCTGGATTTTAGAGTAACACTTTCATCACCATTTATCTTATACCCAAGTTACAATTATTCTTTTTTTTATATTTAAAATTAGTACATTGCATCTACACTGCTTATATTTGTGCACATAAATACTGCAGTGAATAAGTCTGTCCAGAGGGTGGCAGTGTGCTATTCAATGTGAAAAGTTTCAGGCCCTGTAATAAAAAATCTTTTAAATTGTTAACTCTTTTTTTTGGTATGCTTTAGGTATATCTTTAAGTTTATTTCAGACTTCTCCTTCACTGTACATACTCTAAGTATTCACTCAGCTTCCAGTGTACTAGATACAGCTAATTAATAGTATAATAGATGCCTGCAGTAAATCCTCCCTTCATGGAAATCATAATGTTCAGTTTTCTGTTGAATCTGTTTTAGAGAGGAGGTGACTCAGCTTTATGGCCATAACAAAAAATTCTTTACACTTGCTACAGTTCTCCCAAAGCGTATCTTGCTGCAGATTATCAGCAAGAATTTACGAACTTGTTAACATACATGATGAAACTCCAAAGAAGTTATTTAGTAAGTGGCCTTGAGTTAAGCATAATCATTTTTTTTCCAAATCTAAGTGTTGCACAGCAGATTTGCGTTTTGAAACTCTTACTAAAGAGCAATAAAAGCTACTTCCTGTCAACGTCAATGACACACCCCTTCCCCCATGCTGGTCTAACTTTTCTTAGCCATGTCAGTCCACAGATTTTACCGTATCCCTGTGCACTAGTCTGTCTGTGTGAGTTTGTGGCAGGTTCATCTCTCTCCTAGTCTCTGGTGGGCAGAATAATGTTGCCAGATTACCATATCATTACCATATCATTTCCATGTCATTATCATACTGCTGCCTGGGATATGTGTGTGTGTGTGTGTGTATGTGTGTGTATCTGAACTTTGCATCAGATCTTCAACTGTTTCTCTTTCTGTTGCTCACAAACACACACACTCCCCCAGTCCCCCACAGGAATACACACACACACACCCCCTGACATGCTCCCTCCATTTCTCACTGTCATAGACTCTATCTCTCCGTCTTTGTCTCACACCCATGTAAGCACATCATAATTCGCGGTAATCTGCCATTCATAATCCTTGTTTGCTTATTTGTTTGTATTCATCTAAATGCCAATTAATGTGAACCTATTAGTAGAAAGGCCACATTTATTTTAGAGAAAGAGGTGGACCCATTTTGTTGCTATGCTCACAAGAAGAAACTATTTTTCAGACAAATATACACCGGATGTCCTCTTTAACTGTATTTAGACTTGAAACTCTAGGTCAATTAGTCAATGGATTTACCAGCAGAAAATTAATCAGCAACTATTTTTGTCATTTTTAAGCATCTCAAATGATTTGTTGGTCCTCTGTGATGGTAAACTGAATACCTTTAGACTCTGAACTACTGGTTGGACAGCACAAGCAACAGGGAGGTGTTGACTTACATATTTCACTAATTTTGAGGCATTTTTCGGAGCACGTTGATCGATTGGCTAATTGAAAAAGTAATCAGCAGATTAATCAAAAAAGAAAGACACACTTAGTTGGAACCTTAATTGCTATTAACAGTTAAATAGAGAGAACTGAATCACTTTTTCAGACATTATACAAATCAAAACATCTGTTTTAAAATGATGTTCACATAGTTTTCATGGTTATTTGATCCATAATAAATAGGCGATTGGTTCTACATTGAAAACAATAATTTAATGATTCCATTGAATCAGACATGTTGCAATACTTTTTTCTCAAAGTCATCAGTTCT